GAATATTGTAAACAATTTAGCTCACCTGGATCACCAGGGAATTGATTTTTAAAACCAAATGTCATTGCACAAAGGAATCGTAAACAAGGTGTGCAAGAAAAATGCATTTTCTGAGACATACTGTCCAAGTAGGCTTGAAATATTTATTAATACAAATTGTTTGAATAATTTTGGTATTAACTGAAAATCTTTTAAATCACCATTCGTTGATCCAGGTGAGCTACATTGACGTTGTTCTTAATTTTGTGATTAGGTATGCAAGTCTTGATGATGGATTTCTTTCTGATTTTGCACTATTTTGTAGTTTGATAAGAATCCATTAATAGCTTTCAGAGAATTTATGAGAATGCATCTCACTTTACATATCCAGGGCCCATAGGTATCAATGAGCTTGAATTTGCTTCAGAATTTGTGCTCCAGATCAGAATGGCATGTTTATATTGTCCTAGTAACAAAAATAAGATGATTAATACAGATGTGGCTATTGCCTTTATAAGACCAATTTTGATTGGTCAACAGGTTGTCAGTGCTGTACATCTGATTGGCTAAGGATTCAATAGTTTTACATGGATCTAAGATGCTGTTTAGTTTGAGTTTAGTTCAGAGTTTCAGGATAATTACCGAGTGATATTATGATTTGTTTTATCAAATGTCTTAGAAATTTGTATAGTACTACAGCTGATGACAGCACTTGTGTACGACTATCTGTAGGTTATGCCTCTACATATTACATAATGTTATATCTATTATAGCCCCATCTATCTATGTTTAGATTAGTCTTATCTTTTCCTTCAATACAATACCTGTCTGTGTGACAATATGTTAACTCTTCTGTCGCAGGTGGCAACAGGCGAACCCTTTCATCCTAAACTTTGGCAGCGTGATAGAAATAAAAGGATAAAATGTCCTTGAGTCAGTAAATGTTAGCTTCATTTCTTTACAACCTTCAATTGGAAATTTGATTTTTACATAATTAACCACATTTAGAATAGAGCTGATTGCTCACATTGTGCAGGTTGATAATCAGCTGAGTAATCGTTAGTAACCAATTGTATTTGTAAACCCTCCACAGACTCATGTGGCCAATAACAGGACACAATCATAACATTGTACAGACTAAACATACTGTAATCGTAGTTATTTTCGCGTGGGATTAATTTTCGCGCTTTTAGCACAAAACGATTGTGCGTCAATGATCATACAAAGCGAAAAATTCATGGTCAGAGTCATGACAAATACTCAAGTAGGAACAACATGCAATTAGTTTATTCTCTCAGATAACAACATCAAAACAACATATAAAGGAATAGAGGCATAAACTAGTATACTAGTAATAGCGATCACAATCAGCAAATGTTGTTATGTTTGAAATGCGCGAAAAAACTACTGCGCTAATAGGTCTTTTGTGAACTTTCCGCGAAAATTGCACCCCGTGAAAATATATACAATTACAGTATGCTGATTAATACTACGATCAAGACAATAGAGGATACTTCCTGTTGAAACACCCACGCCAGTATGTTGTTTATGTTAAAGTTTTATGAGTCAGGAAACTGCATCAGTTGTTTATGTCTTTATTTTACAAACATAACAATAAGAAACATACTTTCTAAAATTTAATCTATTGTTTTATTTTTTATGAATCCTGATTAGTCTCCCAAGCAAATTGATTATCGTTAACACAAACGAGATCAAACAATTGCCCGATTATTTTATCAATCGTTCCAGTACTAATTTAGAACATGAGTGTTCCTTCAGAGGAAGTCAATCAATGCTCTTAAGTGTTGATGCAAAAGCACTTAGAAATAATGGGGTATGAAATATTGATGACAATGTAATGTGCAGCCTTTTTTATTTACATTTTGAACAGGACATTTGAGCTCATTTCTCACATTAAAAAACAAATTTGCTGCTGTTAGTTAGTTAATGTGATGCAGAGAGGTTGAGATACACTGACAAGGACAGGTATCATATTGAAAGTAAGAGATCTGATTATTATGAGATTGCACTTTAGACACATGTAGAAAGAATGTTGTATATTTTGGTTTGATTGAACATGTAATTGAAGCACTATTAACAAAACTGTAAGTTGCATCAAGTCAAAGGAAAATGTTAGCCTATATATTTGCTTCATCAATATCTTGGTTACTAAATATATTTTAAAGCAATATTCCCCTCACCCGTCTTCAGTACATGGGGCTGTGGGGTAGTCTAGTGGTTAAAGCATTTGCTCGTCATACTGACGAACCAAGTTTGATTCCCCAATGCATGAAGTTCATTTCTGACGTCCCCTGCCATATTGCTGGAATATTGCTAAAACTAAACTCACTCACTCTGCAGTAAATTTTAGAGTTCAGCCCTGAGTCTCAACCTCAGGATAAAATGAAAGTCAATATCAATAATAACAAAACACCACCTGTCAATATCAATAATAATAAAACACCACCTGTCAATATCAATAATAACAAATGTCACCTGGGACTGAAAAACGGGATGCAGTGCATCCACAGAATTAATGGACAGAATTAGACAAATATCTAAAGTTCTTAGCTAATATTCAGTGGTGCATTTTGAGAAAGGGGGGATGCACACTATTGAGAAAAGGAGGGGTGCACACTATTGAGAAAGGGGGGGTGCACACTATTAAGAAAAGGAAGGGTGCACACTTCATTTTTACCCGAGTTTCAATGGTCATTTAACAAACTTTCAGCACAAAAGGGGGGTGCGCACCCCTGCACACACACACACCACCCCACCCCACCCCAACCCCCTTCGATCCGTCTATGGCATTGTATGTGAATATCCTGTTTGTTTCCATCAAATATCTTGTGATCCTGTACTTTCCAATTCACAGTAAACATATTTATAGTTAATTGTAATGTAGACTGAAATGGCTGTTCTCAAGGAGAGTAGAAAGCAAATTTATGCTAGACTAAGATACTGGGATACAAGCATACAGTGAAGGCAGCCTGACAAAGATGGTCTCCTTCAGTGAACCCTGTACTGGAGTTGGGCCATGCTCTTGTTGTTTTTCAATTTATGGATTGGATGAAATAGAACCAAAATCTGTTTCTCACTGTCTGATAAAAGATCCTGTCTGACAGAAACAGAAGAAACAAACATATTGACCTGTTTTAATCTTTACCTAGACAATCCTGTAGCCAGGTTCATTGGGAAATGAATTGTTTTAGTTTGTTTACAGAATTACATTTCCTATATTCGTTGTGATGTCAGTGGTCAAATTCTTTCTTTTTTTGCAAAATTTCAACTACAATCTGAGGTACATGAATGTCACCGTTTTCCTGTCTAAATGATAACTCTGGAACATCAGTATTTTCTATTTTACAATGAATACTACTAATGTCTACTTATGGTATTTTAATGCTAATGTTGACGGTATTACAAGATTTGTTTTTCATTTCATTTTCAATATGTTTATCAGAACATGACATAGTAACCTTTTAGGGAATGGTTCATACTTAAAATCCTTACCCTCCAATCAGTTGCTACTGGGAGGTGTGAATACACAATGCCATTTAGATGGTTAAATATAGCATGCGTTATATTTTGGACTACACTGTCTTAGTCAAGTACAGATTCTAGTACTTTTGGGGGTTGAGTCCCATCTGGGATTTGAATCCACACATTCAGAGTCAGGCACCTAATCATCAGCACACAAAGTTAGCAATCTAACCCACTCAGCCTCCATGAAAATGGAGGTCGGACAACTGGTAGTCTAGACCTGGGACTTTGTGCTCCCCTCTGATAAGTTTAAATTGACATGGCTCCCCTGGCCAAAAGCTATGAATACAAAAGGCCATTTTGACTCTGAGAGAGTGGATTAGAATACCTAATGGAACTACACCCAACAAAAGTACTAAAATCTGTACTTTATTGAGAAACTGTAATCCAAATATAAAGTGTACTTCAAGATGCACTGTAAATATTGACAATATGGCAGTAGGTTTATGTGGAGAAGTTTGTGCCTGTACAGCTATGTGGCTGAGGAAATGTAGATTTGTGTAGTGTAAATGATTCTTCGATGAGATGTTTTGCATGAAGCACCCAGTATCTGAAACAGTGTATGATGTATGCAATGAAGTGATAATAAATGATCTAATTAGCAGGATGTCTTAGAGTTTGTTGCTTGATGTCACACCTGTCAATATTTCAGCTATATGACATCAGTCTGTTAATAATGAAGACAGTGATCGATATGATGAGCATGAAGACACAATGCCATTTACAAAGTGGTGAAATGTAACATATGTTATATTTAGGATTACACTTTCTTAGTAAAGTACAGATTCTAGGACTTTTTGTTACCGCCATATAGCTGGAATATTGCTGAGTGTGGCGTAAAACTAAACTCACAACTTTTTGTTCGGTTGGATGGATGACAGTGTGCTGGCAGTTACGTGCCTGACTGAGAGCGTGGGTTCGAATCCCGGATGGGACTCAATTTAACAACAAGTACTAGAATCTGTACTTTACTGAGAAAGTGTAATCCCAAATATAACATATGTTACATCATGAGAATGACCTACGCAGTTTGGATACAATGATGTGTCAAGCAGGTCAGTGAGCCTGACCAAAAGATCCAATAAGTCTTCTTTCCACAATGGGTTTGTGAAAAAGCAACTCTTACCCAGATCTTCACAGGTTTCTCTTGACAGAACCAGCCATTGTGTCAGAGTGAGTGAGTTTAGTTTTACGCCACACTCAGCAATATTCCAGGTATATGGCGGTGGTCTGTAAATAATCGAGTCTGGACCAGACAATCCAGTGATCAACAGCATGAGCATCGATCTGCGCAATTGGGAACCAATGACATGTGTCAACCAAGCCAGCAAGCCTGACCACCAGATCCAGTTAGTCGCCTCTTACGACAAGCATGGGTTACTGAAGGTTCATTCTAACCTGGATCTTCAAGGGTACCATTGAGTCAGAAGCCGATGGTGAAGGATTATTGTGTGCACAGAAACATAGGACACAACACATTTTAAAGGCTCAGACATATTTTCTGTAAGTGCAAGAGCATGCCGTTTTGTACACCATACATCTACCATACTGTATCTACCATATTTTGTGAATAAAAGGACTGGCAGTGTTCTCTATATTTTCTCTGAAAGGTCTATCTGCGTATATGGTGGCACTGTAGCTGTAAGCACCATAGAAAAGCATGCATGTTATGTCATCTTTTTTATATTTATACCTGTCCACATGAAACAAACATGGAGATACATTCTATGTTTGTTTATATAAGTAGTATGTATAACAAAGGTAAGATTCATATGGTAGGTCAGTGACGACTCTAAAACAAAGAGATATTGGTTTTGGTATCACCGTTCAAGACAGTACAAGTTCCACATGAAATCAGTTTCAGGTGAAGGGGACACAGAAGTTCCATGGCGCACATCAAGTTGAACTCATCACGTGCACATGCTACAACATCTTTGTTGTTACAGACTGCACAGATCATGCAGATCAACAGTCAGTTGTCAGGTTGTCAATTTAGCAGTAACTTGTACATTTCCGATGTTTATAATTGATACTTGGTACCAAGTGATGAGCAGTTGCCAAGGTAACTGACAACCCTGACTCAATACAGAAAAAGTTCATGGTCTATAAAATTGTCCCAGCAACAACAGTCAATGTTTTAACCTTTGGCATACTTGTGACCTTGACACTGAACTCTGGAGGCGAGAGTGAGGCTCCCATGGAGACTCCGCCTTTTTGGAAGCTCATGGCAGACGGTTCTGCAGCTCGAGCTGAACAGTGGAACTCCTTAACACCAGTTGACTGCAATATTCGGGCCAGGTTCCGTTCATGGATTCCTCCTCCTGGAAAACACAAGGGAAACAAGAGGCTTAGAAAGTGAGATACTATTAGTACATCAACTGGTTATGGATAGTTAACACTGAAGAGTACTTCTGCTGAACATCAAAAGAATTTGTAGCTTTATGCCAGCAAAATATTGGATTTCTGGCATGGATGCTGTAGAAGTACTACATCCTTTTGTCCATTAATAATATGGACTGTTTGGTGACATGTAGAAATATGTTCATGCAAACTTACCTGGCATTACTATTATTCCATCTGATGCCTGAAAAATATAACCAGATAGTAGTTTTTTATGTGCAAGTATTTTCAGAGTACAAATATCCCACATCAAGACATTGTTGTCCTGGTGCAATTGTATAAAACAACCTTAGCTCTAAGGTGATTGTAACTCCCATACCTTAAAATAGACTTAGGACAGTCTTAGCTCTAAGGTTTATTTGTACAACAACACCCTGACTTACAATGTAACTCTGTTAATCAGGAGAAATATGCACTATATATAACGAGCTACTTTGAACAGAATTTCAGTTATATTATTGCATATGTGAGTAAGTGAGTATAGTTTTATGTCGCTGTTAGCAATATTCCAGCAACATCACGGTTGAGGACACCAGAAATTGAGAATCCATCAATACCATGTGGAGAATCAAACCTGGGACTTTGGCATGAAGAGCAAACCCTTTAACCACCAGGCTACCCCACCGACCCAAACTGCATGTAAGCCAGGAAGGTCTCCGATGTTTAGGACGTGAAACCAACATGAAACCCAGAAGGAGACATATAACCAGGGCAATCTGGGTTATTCAAAACACAATCTTCAGTTTCTGACACATGAAAGGGTCACTACTTTGAAACACCCATGCCCCTTGAATGACAAATCAAGTTTAGTCACTTTAGAGGAAGAGTATCCTCCGGAGGAAAAAGATTGTTCACACAAATTGGACAACAGGAGAAATTTACAAGTAATTTTCATGATACAGCTTTAAGAGTTGACAATATAAAAGTCTTTTCACACCAAAACACTTGTAAATGGGAAATATCATATATGACCGTAGATAAGTCAAATTTTGAGCACCAAAAAAAAGCAGTCTATAGAAGGGTAATGTTTTCCATAGAAAATATGCAAATGGATAGTTTAATTGCCTTACTAACTGTTGTTCATTATGGTGGAACTACATAACATGGAAACAATGAAAATGGGTGCCAACTGTCACTAGTCTGTGTTGAGGTTTGAACAAAAACAATGTTTAAGGAGTTAACATGGCTCTTAAGTTCAGTTCAACCCTATGTTCAAATCTTTGAAGACTTTATTAAAGATTTAAGCTTCTATAAAACAATCAGAAAAATAAGCATACATGCAGAGTTCTCTTTTTCCACAGGGGGTGGGGTAGCCTCGTGATTATAGCGTTTGTTCGTCGTCACGCTGAAGACCCAGGTTTGATTCTTCACATGGGTGAAGCCCATTTCTAAAGTCCACCGCCATGATATTGCTGGAATATTGCTAAAAGCGGCATAAAAATAAAGTCACTCACTCACTCAGCTTGTATGTATGCAATATATTCTAAGATCAGAGATACAAATTTCAATACCTTGTCCACCATTTGCCTGATGACCGGTGCTCCATCTAGAGCAGTGGCCTCACCCCCACTAGTGAGGACACGCTCACACCCCAGGGAGATGACCGCCTCCAGAGACGACAGGAGGTCAGGGGTCATGTCAATAGCTGAAACAGTCATTATTCCACGTTAACCTTCCATTCTTCAAACAGTACAGGTGTCTTCTGAAGAATGTGACTTGGAGATTAAATAGATGAAACTGCAGCTGAACAATTTCTGGGAACATATAAGTGTGGGTTTAGTTTAGGGTGAGATGAGGTGAGACAGGTGAGGCGAGGCTAAACTAGGTGAGGTGAGGTTTACTCATGCACCAAATTATAGTATACAGCAACACAATATGCTGACTCCAAGCCAACCAGTCCTTGTTTTATCCCCTTAATGCCCACTGCCAGGCAGGGCAATAACAAGTCCCATCTTTTGTAAGACACAAAAAGGTGACTGACCCTTTAGTCTTCCACTTCCTGAGTAGATGATCTACCCACTACACCCCAGTCATTTGATCCACAGTATTTCAGTCATCGACTGAAGTGATGCAAGTGTCAGACATCTACCACTTTGGGGAAATACCAGATTAGACATGGTGCTTTCAAAACTAGAAATATATTCAGGTTGAATCTGGGACACAAATCCATTATCACAGGTTTCTGGCACAGCAAGGGGGGCAACTCTGCATGGTGACTTGGTACTCACAAAATTCAACTCCTTATGGGCATTTGGTCAGATTTGTACACTGAGATCAATGGAAAATTGTAATATGTAATACATGCCCTCTGGATAATATAGCGAAACATCATGCTAGAAAATCTTAATACTTACCTCTGTGAAATGTTACTGGTCGGGGCCTTATGTGGGCTGAAAATGTATTTCCTTGGTCAGTAAATACTGGCAAACGTATCTTATTTAGGATGTTTATGTACACATTTGATTCATTTTGTTTTGGCAAGAATACTTGTAGTCACAAGCAAAATAAGGTAATGCATGTGTGTTTGTTGTTTAACACCAAACACAGCAATATTCCAGCTATATGGCGGTGGTGTATAAATAACTGTGTCTGGATCAGACAATCCAGTGATCAACATCATGAGCATTGGCGTACACAATAGTCAGCAAGCCCCACCACTCATTCATGTTAGTTGCCTCTTCATGCTTACTGGCAAACAAGGATAAGTTGGATCGGCACAAAAAACGCATTTACGAGAAGTAGGCGGTGCACGGCAATGTTTGTGAAAGGTGCTGCACATGCCTTGCTCATAAGACTCTCACGTCTGTGTAGCAAGTCGCACTACACTTGATCGCGGACAGCCTGGGGCCCCTTCACTAACAATGGCAAGCGCCAGTGGGCGGCACTCATACATGCTAATACGGGTCAATTGTCAGGTCGGTGGTCAACTTTTCCACATGCATGGTGATGATTGTAAATAGATTTCAAGAAAATCAGCATAACTTTGACCCAGAAAAAACCCATAGATGATAACTATGGCAATATGGTAATAGTACCAGAGCCAGCCTTCAGAAACATTATCACTGTCTGTATCTCCAGGGCTAGCACTTGTGTAAACCAACACTCATAGAGTCATAACCTGGATCCATTACCAAGGTAACGCAAACAAAGGGCAGGTAATTTCACATGATGTGAAGCATGGGAATGGATCAAGGGGTTAGTGTAAGTGTACTGGAATGTGAGCCTTTGTTGAGGATGACCATTATTGGTTCTTAACACACTTCATTGATGTTCTTTAATGACTCACACAGAGATACAAATATCTACTTGGTTTTTTCTCAAGTCAAATCTTTCCCTTTGGGATGTAAGTGAGGTGAGGTGAAATTGGGTTTAACGTCGTACTTGAGATTATTTCGCTCATATGACGACGTGCATGCATGTTCATGTGTATGTACGGCTGCTTGTACTAGCCCAGACTGAAGCTGGTTTTATAGTGCTAGCCCACTGAGATATGATGCCGCAGTGAAGCATGAATACCCCACTCAGACACATTATACTGACTCCTAGCCGACCAGTCCTTGTTGTACCCATTAATGCCGAGCGCCAGGCAGGGACCAACAAGTACCATATTTTAACGTCTTTTGGTATGACGCGGTTGGGGATCGAACCTGCGGCTTTCCGCTCTCCGGGCGGACGCTCTAACCACTACACCACGGAGGCGGTTAATGGATCAAGGGGTTAGTGTAAGTGTACTGGAATGTGAGCCTTTGTTGAGGATGACCATTATTGGTTCTTAACACACCTCATTGATGTTCTTTAATGACTCACACAGAGATACAAATATCTACTTGGTTTTTTCTCAAGTCAAATCTTTCCCTTTGGGATGTAAGTACAAATGAGAAGTATATTATTCAACTGAGAAAAGTTATTTGAATATCATAAACATATTTCTAATTATTTTCAATGTTTTACATTTATGACTGCCATGACACCAAAGCATGAGCATGCCATTCAGGTACTGTTAACATAATTTAACCCTGTCATTGCGATTTGAAACATGCCACTTTAATAAACATAATTTGCAACTCTGTCACAGAATACTTACATATCAGGTCACTGCACCTTTCCTTGTCTACAGTACCATCTCTGAAATAAAGTAAACACAAAATACAAAGGTGGTTCGCTTGTTTCTTTAAACACTGCGCATAGGAATATTCCCGCTATATGACAGCAGTAAGTAAATAATATAGTCTGGACCAAACAAACCAGTGATTGGCATCATGAGCTTTACCAAGTCAGCAAGCTTAATCACCTAAACTCATTACTTGCCTCTTATGACAATCATGAGTTGCAGAAGACCAATTCTGACCAGGGTGCCGTTGTACATAACAACCTTAGTGCTAAGACTACCCAAGTATATGTTCTACCCAAGTTTATGTTCTACCCAAGTCTATGTCGGTTCTACCCAAGTCTATTTTCTACCTAAGTCTACGTCTATGTTCTACCCAAGTCTATGTTCTACCCAAGTCTATGTTCTACCTAAGTCTATGTTCTACCCAAGTCTATGTTCTACCCAACTCTATGTTCTACCCAAGTCTATGTTCTGCCCAAGTCTATGTTCTGCCCAAGTCTATGTTCTACCCAAGTCCATGTTCTACCCAAGTCTATGTTCTAGTCTATGTTCTACCCAAGTCTATGTTCTACCCAAGTCTATGTTCTACCCAAGTCTATGTTCTACCCAAGTATATGTTCTACCCAAGTCTATGTTCTATCCAAGTCTATGTTCTACCCAAGTCTATGTTCTACCTAAGTCTATGTTCTACCCAAGTCTATGTTCTACCCAACTCTATGTTCTACCTAAGTATATGTTCTACCCAAGTATATGTTCTACCCAAGTCTATGTTCTGCCCAAGTCTATGTTCTACCCAAGTCTATGTTCTATCCAAGTCTATGTTCTAGTCTATGTTCTACCCAAGTCTATGTTCTACCCAAGTATATGTTAAGCTATGGGAGTTATGGTCAACGCTAAGATTGCTTTGTACAAAAGCACCTTGATCTTCATGAGCTTCATGCTGACACTGCCATCAGTATAGTGAAACAAATAGATAACTTATAATACCAAACTAAAATGTTAAAGATCATTAATATTTGGTGAGATATTTCTTGAAACTGTGAGCTAAGTATTTACTGCAATTGTTTTTATCCCTCAATCATTCTTGATCCCAACTTTATTTGTTTGCTTGAGCAAGCATCGCTTTTCATCTAACAGGAAATAATGTGATAAATGCCACTGGATATGATTAGAACAAGCCCAGATTAACCAATCAAAGTAGTAGTTAAAATCACCTCATGCTTGTTTGGCCATATGGAAAGGGGGCAATTTCACACGCAGCATAGCAAAGATTGCTTTGCGAAACTTGGCCCTCACCTTATGAATTTAACAGATCTAAAATACATCTTCTTGGACATCAGTTTGGACTTTGTCTTTGATAATGGTCAAACAGTCATCAGACTTTTGCAAACACTAGATTATCAGTCATTGCTTGGTTGGTTGGTTGGTTCTTTAACGCTTCATCTTGTTAGTCGTCTCTTACGACAAGCATGTGTTACTGAAGACCAATTCTAACCCTGGATCTTCACAGGTCCATTGCTTGGTCCATGTGAAAGTAACAGAGTTATGGTGTAGTGTACAATAGCTTTGTGAAATCCATCCCTGGTTCTTTCCTCCACTACTTACGAGTTCAGAATTCCTATTACAAATCCATCAGCTCCAGCTTGCTTCAACTCCTCAATGTCCTGCTTCATGACCTCCATCTCAAGGTCACTGTACAGGAAGTCACCTCCACGGGGTCGTATCATAACAAAAACAGGTATTTGGACTTTCTTCTTGATTACTTTTAGCATACCTGGAAATGTTGATCCAAAACTTGGGTCAATTCAATTGAAGTGACACACTTAATAATCAGTACAACCAACCTCTACAGGAGCTGAATGCATTTCCCAAATATTCCATTACCATGAAAAATAGGTACTTTGAAGAGTGAGTAAGTTTGGTTTAACCACAGTGAACAGTATTCCTATTATATGATGATATGTCAGCTTGGTGTGGGCGGAAAGTTCCATGTCATGCAGGTCTCAGACGTTTACCGCTTTACTGGCACTTTGTGTGTGTGTGGGGGGGGAGGGGAAAGAGAGAATGATGATGATTATTTTAATGGAGAAGCCAGTACAATGTGAATGACCCCCCTCTAAAATTTATACACAAAGTAAGTGACCCCGCCCTGCATGTCATGGGCAACAGATTATCCCCATGATTATTTTTTATTTTTATTTTTCAGTAATGCCCAAGGGACAATAATCTGCACATACAATCCTCACGACTTCACCTATCCATTTCAAAGAATATTATGACTTGTCTGAAATATCTTTGATTTATGTCAGTTTGCTACCACAGACATGATTCAAGTGACTAAAACACGGTAAACTGATATCAATCATATATGAATTTATCCGAATATATTTTTGAAAGAGCACACGTGTTTAAGAAATACACTTCGCTCTACCACCATGTATAGTGTAATAAAACACACTTTTGCCCTGAACTATTATAGTTAAAGCACGAGGACGCTTGCGTCCGAGTGCTTTTTAACGCTATAATAGTTCAGGGCTTAAAGTGTGTTTTATTACACTATACATGGTGGTAGGGCTTAAGTGTATTTCTTTTCTAAGATGCCAAATTTAATACTTTCTAAAGATAATTACGATTAATTTAAGGCAGAAAACAAACGACGGCGTCGGTGACCTAAATTAAGAAATCCTCGCACAGGGCTAACTGGCGCGCTGTTCTTTTGATGTGTCTGCCCCCTACGTTAAGACAAACGTTACCAGAAAAAAACAAATGATAACAGTTTGATGACGGTTTACGTTCGGTTTAAATATCTTGTCTGAATTATTTTAATTACATCTGTCATTAACGTAAACCATTAACGTAAACCATATGGGGCAATATGAACGTTGCATTTCTACTACCAGCGTAAGTTTAGATCAGTACATCCAGAGGAAGTTGAGTAGTCAAGCGACATTCCACAATTGCATTGTGGGAATGTAAACATTACGAACGTTACCGTGTCGCTGAAAACTTGTGAGTCGAAATGACACATTTTAACCGTCGTAAAATATAAACGTAATGTTTCCACCAGTGATGTTAGCTGCGTGAAGCAACAGCAAACCAAGAAACTGGATGCAACGGTGTAGTTTACTGTAGGAGGCCGTACGAGGCGATGACAACTGACATGCATCGTGACGTCGCTTACATTGTGACGTAATGTAAAATGGTTCGATTATGAGGGGGCACACTAGAATGGCGCAGTGCCGGGATAACGTCATTCAATTGTTACGTCATCAAAAAACTATACCTTTATTGTCTGATAATGTATTTTTTTTTTGATTGTTCTAACCGCTAGGCATCTTAGAAAAGACATTAAATTCACAATGAGGTTCAGACCCCAAAAGTAAAAGGTTATTATAGGGCTATGACTTGTGTATGAAGACATGACAATTTGTGGGTAACATTGGGATAACGTTTCTGGGCTATTTCTTGCCCATCTGGGCAAATGGATCCTACATGGAATTTGTGGTACATGGGTGACACAGCACCAGATTTGACATGGACTTACAACAGCTGTGTGATTACTGGAACAGTGTCTGAAGCTGCCACTCACCGACAGTGGGCGTGGTCCCTCCTTCCATTAGGTTCCCACACAGCTCAACTCTCTTGGCACCTGGTAACATATGTAGGCATGAATCAGGGGAGGATCACCAAAACATGTGACAGTCTCCATGGCAGGGGTGTAAACAATCAAACACAAGTTTGGGTTATGTTTATTGGATGTTTTTGTAGTAACATATATGAAGTGCTTTGCAATTTGTCTTTTCACGGTGGGTCATGAAGACAATGTACAAAGACAGAGGAAAGGTCATTTGAAATATAATAATTAAACGTTATCTTCATTCTTTTCTCTACATTAGTGCATATAAAATACAACCCCAAACAACCTGTAATAAATAACTTGACCCTTATTACTCGAAAAAAAGGTGGAACAATACAAGAAAATAAAGGGTGTAATTGTTGAAATATAAAGTAAACTTTGTGTTTTTCTCTTTTTCGGAATAAACGGGTAATCAATCATGAGTCTACAACCAGTTCCCAATAGTTAGAACTTGATGAAGTGTCAATCATTGAAATATTGATGTCTTAAATTTATACCCATATATTTTCAGACCAGTTTTGTTAACGTTTTAAAAGTGTGTACAATTGCATGGCAGTGGGTGCTCACCTCCCTTTTCTGCATTGATGGCTGATGCCACTGAATCTATGCACACTTCCATCATGGACTGGTTCAGCTGCAGTTGGTAAACACTTCCACGTGTTTACTCTATCGGAAGTAGGGAAATCCCGCCTCGTTTTGATAACACACACGGTCTCGTTGGGAAACCCCTTTAGTCGTGCGGTATATGTAACAGGGCTGGCGAAAAGCTTGTATAAGACCTTGCAACGCTTCTTTGAAATATTTCATGGGTTTGTCTGTATGAAAGAAGATGTTTTCTGGTTTCTGTTTAATGCGATCAGGGTTGACAGCTTCAGCTGTAAGCCTTGCTGGTCGTGGATTTCGTCACGTAGTCCAGAATCAGGTGAATATTTTGACATTGAATATTACTTTATGTTACTTGATGCAATGACCCGTTCACCGTTACATACATGATATACACTGTGCAAAAATGTATCTAGATATAAATTAATTGTGTACACACACCCATTATTAGCTCATTTAGCCTTACATTCTCAGTCATTACATAATCCTTACGTAACATGACGGAAACAATGAGGAGGAGTTGTCATTTAGAATGTAGGGTTAAATTCTTTTGAAAAATTCATAAACACCGTTTTAAAATAACCACATGTTTGTAGCCTGATACGGCTCCTTGGCCACGTTTACTAAAGTGGATCACAAGATCTTGTAACTAAAATATTTAATAAGAACAAATTATATTCAAGTCCGAAGACGACATTGTTATTATAGGAAGTTAGTTTCATGAGCCAGTTCTACCTGATATGGAATGCTGGGAGCAATCACAAAATATGTCATCATTATAATGCGAATTGTGTAGCGAACACAATATTACAAGTTGTCCTTGGAGTAAGAGTTGTGAGAGTTATGGTGGTTTCAGCAATATCACAGCAACATCACGGCAACATCACAGCAATATCGCAACACCATCACTGCAAGATCACGGCAATAGCACGGCAGGGGACACCAGAAATGGGCTTCACACATTGTACCCATGTGTGGAATCAAACCCGTGTCTTTGGCACGATGAGCGAACGCTTTAACCACTAGGCTACCCCACTGACCGTTGTCCTTAAACATTTTGCTAAAAGGTCATAAGTTATCACTGAATGTGACAAATTACCTACAAGTACTGCTGTATGTTGTGTGGCTGGTGACATGGTGAAGTAATGTGTTGAGACAAACTGTTACAACAGTTAGTATCATGTAACAGTTTGAGCATTCAGGCCCGTAGCAAGCCATTTTTTATCGTGTAAGCCTGATAAGTTGCAAACTTCATATTTAGATAGTATTGAGGGCTTGCCCAACCTTTTAGCAACAATCATGTTTTTTTTTCATAATAGTAGCTACGCCCTGGCATTGGGTTTTAGCATTGGATTTGGAAAAAATCCATTACACTTGAATGTGCATACTATTTTGCGGTTGAAATAGGAAAATAATTGTAACTGACAATGGAACAGAAATGGAAATATGATCTTTCACCATTTGCTGTTAAGAGCATTGAGGGCCATGTGTACATGTGAAGATGTATTGATCGTACATGCTTTGATACCTCTTCATCCTGTTTGTTTAGATCCACTGTCCAAGATGTCAGAAGGTGGTTCAAGGAACACGGCAGTTCAGTGTCATGAAAAATCTCAGACAACCTAAACCAGTGAGTTCGAAGCATGATCTGATCTTAGGGAAATCTTAAGGGAATAATGTTGGTAGCTTTGATATCATCAACTGTTGTGTTAGTTTACAGCAATCATCAAAACATGATAAAATTTTGTTTTTTGTTTGTGATTGAAATATTGAATGTAATATTATTCATTATTATTAATATTCTCAAGGTAACTAGACAAACCAGTGGTTCATAGCTGGACCAAAAGTTCAAGTTGTTAGGGGTTATGACACACTTTCTACAGATTATTGAAGTTAAAACAAGTATATCATGGTATGTTTCAGCAAAAACTTTTCATATATTTTCAACTTCACGTTTCTATCAACATGCTCAAGCAATGATAAAAGATCTGTTGATGATTTTGCATCATTTCAGGTGTCTGGGATTTTGAGATTTCTTCAGCCTGTCAGGAAGACCACATCCACAGCCGCAGGGAAGGTTGTGAAGGAGTTACCTCCCCATGCTGAGAAGATAGTAGGAGGCTGGTTGATAGGGTGTGCAGGAATGGTGGTGGGAGCAGTCATCTTGGGAGGTGTTACAAGGTAACCATGGTAACCCCCAAAACTACTCTGGCCAAACAATATATATATATGTAGTTCACTTCTTGTGGTACTTTGTGATTTTTTAAGCGATGTATTTTTTAAGGAAAATATGAAAGCGAAATATACATAGTGAGTGAGTATGTTTTATACCACCGTTATTAATATTCCATGGAACATATGTAACAAGCCCCTACAATGGGCTCCTAATAATGTACCTATGTGAGGAATCGAATTCAGGGCTTCAGCAGGACAAGTTAATGCTTTTGCCTCTAGGCTACCCCAATGCCCCAATAAATTGATTTCTATTGACTGAAGATTACTTCCTCCCCAAAATAGTCTAAAAGATTTGGGAACTTCAGCTATGACAGGCAATATCTTTCTTTTTTCTTGTTGAACAGAGGCCTTCAGCAGAGATACAGATAACTTTTTGGGCCATTGAGTTATGTACTCGTTTGTGTTCATCTCTATTGGGTATCCTAATTTTCCTTTGAGTAACCAAATAACTTGTACCCACCTCACTCAAACTTAATTGGGTATTTTGCCAGTTTCCATTGATTGTAAAAATAATTTTTTTTAAACTTATCCTATCTCACGACTTGCACCTCTCTCTCTTGCTTCAACTTTAAGTGGAACGACTGTAAACTTTTTTCTTCCATTGATTGTAAAAATATAAATTTTTAAACTTATCCTATCTCACGACTTGCACCTCTCTCTCTTGCTTCGACTTTTAGTGGAACGACTGTAAACTTTTTTCCATAGGCCTCCTTGTCCATTCGCCCGTGCACTCCATGCTGCTCTCCTTAATTAGCTTCCTAGTTCCTAATAAAGCTTGCAGCATGCTCCACTAATTACCCACGTGACTACCTTGAATGATCATTCTCTTTCTTGTCGCACGACTGTGTGGACGTGCTGTATATTAGGGACATTATTTCACCCTAACATCATGGGGAAAACTGATAATCAGTCAAGGAAAAGGAAAGTTTGTGCTCAATGCAAGACGAATTCTTCGTCCCTCAACCCTCACTCGTCTTGCAGTGACTGTATTGGACAATGTAACGGGAACAAACGATGTGGCAAGTGTAATTCACTAAAAGATGAGGATTTTAAGGCCTACCTTTGTGTTTGCGCCCGGAGAATCACCAATAGGGACAGGAAATCAACAGAATCTGATCCCACTCCCGCCAGGCGTATCAAGTTACAGCGACAGAAAATTGTACCTTCACGCAAGAGAGCGACGTCTGTGGTTCAAGAGGATTTTATGGACGCTTCATCAGATTCTTACTTATCTGAGGACGTTCGGCACCTATTAGGTACGCATCAATCACCTCCTTCCATAGCGTCAGATCACTCGTGGTTGGTTGTGATCGACAATTCTTTGTTGCCTGTCCCATCTACACTACCAGGGGACCTTAGATCGACATTATCATCATCCAGATCATCGGTACATATCCCCTCGACTGTCTCAGTTTGTTTGGAGCCTGGCCAACCGCGTTCAACCAGCCAACTGTCTCCCCACAGTTCATTGAACCGGACGGAGCTGGCTACAACAGCATCGCCGGGGGACGTTCATCATGAATCAACACTTCAGGTTTCGTCACTTAATCGCCGATCCAGATCGCCACATCATTCTAGATCGCTACAACGATCTAGATCACCTTCACGATCCAGATCACCATCACAAGCCAAATCTAGATCACCGTGCCGATCAAGATCACCCGATCGGTCCAGAGCACAACTACGATCCACATCACCTGATCAATCCAGATTACCTAACCGATCCAGATCACCAAACGTGTCCAGATCACAACATCGAAGTAGATCATCAGACCGATCCAGATCACCTAATCGATCCAGATCACCGAATGGATCCAGATCACAACTTCGAATCAGATCACCGGACTGATCCAGATCACAACCTCATATCAGATCACCAGACCGATCTAGGTCACCTAATCGATCCAGATCACAACATCGAAGTAGATCGCCAGACCGATCCAGATCACCAAATCAAGCCAGATCGCAACTGCAAACCAGATCACAGTTTCCAGTTAGTGCATCGAATCAATCCAGATCACTTTACAAAGCCAGATCATCTTACAAACCCAGGTCACCTATACGATCTAGATCACGTTACAGAGCCATTGACCAATCGGGATCACAGTACAGATCCACATCTCATCAGTTGTCTCATTTTTGGGGCTACACTCTCGCTGTTCACCGACGTGGACCCCTTAACATCTCTTCATGGGAGGAGCGATTTAAAACAGAACTGTTTCGCCAGCCTTGGTTTACTGACTCCCTCTTCAATGGTAGCATGCAAGAAGTATCTAATAAAGTTGATAAAGAAACCCACTTTCAAGTCTCGATTGAACTGTTAAAGATACAGAAGTCACAGCTCCAGGACTCATTTAAACAGCGTCAAACTGCACAGTTCACCCTACCAATCCGGATTTACGCAATCTTTTACTTGGCGCATCCACTCAAGGCCGTGGCAGGGGAAACAGATCTGGCCGTGGTGGTTCTCTCCCGTCGCCCCAAGGACCAACTCTGGCCCAGGGACTGGAAACAGTGATGGTTTGAGACAATCACACGACTGGGACCTCCCTCCTCCAGTCGTTCCCATTTACAACACTCCAGTAGGCGGGAGATTGCAGATCTCTGCTCGAATTGGACCATCCTCAAAGATCCGTACATCACCAACCTGCTACTTCACGGCTATCAGCTACCCATTATTGGCAACCCACCTCTGATCCGGCTCATCGCTCATATCCTGTGGACCAGCTTCAGACTCTGCAATCCACAATAGGTACGCTATTAGACAAACTCGTGATAGAGCTCCTAGTTCCATCGCCAGTCACTCCAGGATTCTACTCCCCCATCTTCTTGGTTCCAAAGAAAAATTCCAACAAACTCTGGCTCATCTTCAATATGCAGTTGTTCAATGCCCAATTCCTGCTTCCACCGCCTCCCTTCAGGATGGTGTCGATCAACCTTTTACGCACCATCTTGAAGAAGGAAGACTTCCTCATCAGCCTAGATCTTCAGGATGCTTATCTTCACGTTCCGAGACATCCAGAACACCGGAAGTATCTTCACTTCGTGTTCAACCAATGGAAAGTCCTACCATTTGGAATTTCCACGGCTCCGTGGCTTTTTACCCGAATTACCAAGCCCATAACGAGCTTCCTCCACTTTCAAGGGATCACCTTCGAAAGCTACATAGACGATTGCATCCAGGCTCTACAGGATCCGATCGTATTGCTTCGCCTGCTACAGTTCACCACCACGCTGCTCAGACAGTTAGGGTGGCTGTTGAACATCACGAAATCGGAACTAATACCGACTCAGAAACTACAATTCATCGTCAGGGGATGATGTTCGTACCTCACGACAGGTGGATAAAGATTCAGCAATGCATTGCTCCAGCACTGTCTCAGGCGAGAACTTACGACAGTGGAGGGAGCCTTAACGTACAGAGGCCAGCTCCAACTTCGGCCGATACAGCGATTTCTATGCCCGTACTCTCAGGCCGGCAACCCCAAGGAACCAATTTGCCTTCCAGAACCGCTTTGTCCAGTCCTTCAATGGTGGCTCGACGAACGGAATGTTTGCGCCGGAGTCTCTATGATGCCCTTTGCACCGACTCATCACCTATTCGTCGATGCATCCCTCATGGGTAGGGGAGCTCACTTCCTCGACCACCAAGTGGCCGTGCTGTGGTCATCCGATGAACGGGTACTTCATATAAATGAGCTGGAATTCAAGGCGGTAATTCAAGCCATCTCACATTGGGCAACAGAGCTTCAATCAACCAGTCTGTTGATCCAATCAGACAATTCGACAGTGGTTTGGTATATAAATCATCTAGGTTTGACAGGCTCGGCGAATCTGCTACAATGGGCGATCAGGTTCTTCAATCTCATCGACTCACTCAACATGGTAGCCAGAGCCAGACACATTCCCGGGGTAAAAATATGTGATCGCCGATTCCTTGTCCCGATCCAACCGACCGTCCCCGACAGAGTGGAAGTTACTGCCCCGATCTTTCAGTCGATGATCTACCCGTTATCACGGCCTCAAATAGATCTGTTCACCACAAGGTTCAACAACCAACTTCCAAAGTTCGTATCACCAATCCCAGACTCCTTGGCGTGGGACCTCGACGCATTGGCAATATCATGGGAGGATCTTAATGCCTATGCTTTCCCCCCTCCAGCTCTGCTACCAAAAGTAATACAGAAACTATTGGCCACCAGCAACATACTACTGCTTTTGGTCGCACCCTTCTGGCCAGCGAGAAGTTGGTTCGTCAACCTAATAAGCCTGGCAGAGGCAAACCCAGTACCGCTTCCCAACCGGACGACCTACTTCTTCACCCTCACTCGGAACTGCGCCACGGGTCACCTCAGACCCTCAATTTACACGTTTAGCGCATCTTCAGAGGTCTCTCATAGCTAAGGGCTACTCTCACCGAGTAGCCACAGCTATCACTTCAGTTCATCGTACTTCGACCCGTTCCTTGTACGACAACAAGTGGAAGAAGTTTGAAGACTATTGCAAGCTTAGGGGAATTGCATCTCCCACTTCCACCTCGGCTCAGGTCGTTGCTGAGTTTCTCCAGCATCTCCGCACTACTGAGAAACTCAAGGGTACTACATTAGCTACCTACAGATTATGAACCTTTAGAAGACAAGGACTTCGAACAAGTGACATTCAAGACATTCTCCCTGGTAGCTTTGGCTACCGCTGCTCATATATCTGAACTGCATGCTCTTGATGTCAATCGGGTGCAGTTCGAGCGGAAGAAGCATGGCAAGGCTTTCCTGGGTCTCCGCTGGGACTTCATTGCGAAAAACCAACTGCCAGGGCAACCGATCCGGATGTTTACCATTTCCCCGTTGTCCACCATTCTTGGGCCTGATGATAATGAAGATTTGACACTCTGCCCTGTTAGGGCTCTACACGTTTACCTTGCTGCCTCCAAGGATCGTCGACGGCTACGGAAGCGCCTCTTCATACCCTTGTCGAACGCTTCAAGAACTGAGGTTTCCCGGACCACATTGGCCTTCTGGATGCGTGCCATGATCCTGCGAGCCTACACCTTTACAGGGTTGCCTCCTCCAGCCTCTTCCGGTCCTCATGAGACTCGTGCACTAGCCTCGACGATGGCCCTCCATAGCAACTGCTCCTTGACCGCTATCATGGAAGGTTGCTTCAGGCGTTCTGATACAGACTTCTCTTCACATTACCTGCGAGACCTGTCTGTCACGGATGTCCAGGGACTACACCAGTTCGGACCTCTTGTACTGGCTCAGCAGCTTACATCGGCCTAACAACGCAGATGAGGGATGGTGTTACTACTTCCTTGTATATACTGAATAAAAGTTGAACTGGATCTCAACCTTTTGGTCTCATTATATGGGTTTAAGAACTACTTCACTTGGCCTCGATACCAAGGCATCGGATTACGGGCACCTAGCGTGGCCCTACGGACCTGAGGCACAATCTGTATGACGATGCAGAGGTGTTCGACATTCACACCTACTGACCTCTACTCCACGGAGCAATTACCCCAGTGAAGTGTGACACTCCCGAATTCTGGTGGATTTCGTTGCGTTCTGCCTCCAAAGTTGTCGGGCACATCCTTTGACTAAGCTTAGGCAAAGGAGTGAGGGTCAATTTGATGCTGCCAGGAACTGAACGTTAAACCTTGGAGATGCCGAGTTGTGTTTCTCTTTCACCCGCCTCGGTCGGTGTCTGGGGTGCCTTCTTGAAGCAGGGGCTGTCCCGATTCTAGTCGCAAGACTTTAATTACGGGGGTACCTTGTAAATCATGGCGAAGGCGAGGCTTACTTGCCGAGTTGCGTCCCTTGTCTTGTACAAGGTTGCGGCCGAACACCACATCGCTCGGGAGCACCCATCTCCCTGGGAGTCGTTGTGCTTAGTAAGCCAAGGGGTTCGGAGAACTCACTTCAACCCTTGTACATCGCTATCTACGGTTGTCATCAGTCCACACAGCTCCAAGACCAGCTGTTCGCACTGTCCAGACAGAAGGGTAATCTGCGGCCCATCGTCCAACCGTGGGATAAGTGCAAGTCGTGAGATAGGATAAGTTTAAAAAATTTGAAATTTTAATATAAATTGTTATCTATATACTTATCTTATCTCACGCGATGGATGCCAGCCCGGCCTCCCCACTACTCAGATTACAACGTTGGCTCCAAGATGAGAATGATCATTCAAGGTAGTCACGTGGGCAATTAGTGGAGCATGCTGCAAGCTTTATTAGGAACTAGGAAGCTAATTAAGGAGAGCAGCATGGAGTGCACGGGCGAATGGACAAGGAGGCCTATGGAAAAAAGTTTACAGTTGTTCCACTAAAAGTCGAAGCAAGAGAGAGAGGTGCAAGTCGTGAGATAGGATAAGTATATAAATATACAATTTATATTAAAATTTCCAATTGTTTGGTTACGTGTTTATTATTTATGTTAGATCTGTAATATGAGAAATGATAAGAAAGACTGCATGTTGCCAAGTTCCTGTGCTGAAATAGAACCTCTCAATATACCTCAGTTATTTCATCTATTTTTGTGTGTGCGTGTGTAAGATCAAATTTATTGAGTATTTACTAAAATTCAAGCGTACTTGAATGCAGTAGACTAATTGAATTGAGTTTTCACATAAATATTTGCGTAGTTTATGCAGATACACAGCTAATCTGTACGTCTGCTGCAGGGATCACAGTCATGCTTGATGTGTAGTCTGTGTTGACAGAATGGAAGTTCCAGTGGAAGATATCGCCATTCCCTTGTCATATGTATTTTTCTGTGCATCTTGAACAATGATGGCTGTTTTTCAGATTGACAGAATCAGGCTTGTCCATGGTTGACTGGCGCCTCCTCAAGGACATGAAGCCACCAGGGTCACAGCAGGAGTGGGAGGAGGAGTTCAAGCGATACAAGCAGTTCCCAGAGTATAAATAGTAGGTTGCTATGGTTACGCAGACTCCGACATCTTATAGGTAGATAAAGCATATGTACCTGTGATGACCAATTTTGATATTGTCTTGTCGCTGCATTGCGCTGTCCCATACTGTTTTCCATCCTCGATAGTCTCCAGGGTATATGTCCCGATAAATCTCCACTCGAACCTGGATGCATCTACAACTCGTCCCGATCATTGTATTAATTACATTCCTTTACTGTCTCCGCCTTCTCTCAGTAGCCAATCAGATAAGCCCTTACAACGAAGCTTGCCAGTGTCAACAAAGATGGCAGCAGCTGCTGCAAGGTTTCCTTGCTGTGGGACTCAGATTTAGGGAAAAAATCATAAAGACAAATTGACAAGTCTGAAACCTTAAAAAAATATATGTAAGAACTCTGTCTACCTCTTTCAGGGTGTCTCTGCAACAACTGTGTTGCCAAGATTAATCAGTTAGATAAAAGAAGTGCAAGTGAGTTATGATAGAAGCCTTGTGATTGGTGCGCTCAACTTCCCAGAGTAGACACCTGATTGGATAAATGCCAGCAAAGAGAGGTAATACAATTATGGGGCCAAGCCATAGATGCATCCAGGGTACTAGTGGAGATTATCAGAAGTACACCCTGGACATAATCGAGGATGACTGTTTTCCTGATAGATTCTACAGTCAGTTTACATCCTTAACGTCCTTAAACTGAGTCCAACCTCATAATCTATCGACAAAAACAACTTGATTCACTTCCTAAGACCATTAAGGAACCTGAGGTAAATTAGGGTATTACTTCTCAGGTCTGTTGTGATAAATTGAGGATGGCTGGTTGCATGAATATATTTCTAGTCCTAGTTTTATTATGTCAGTGTCAGCAGCCAGAAAGAGATGACTCTAAGTGACTTCAAGTTCATCTACTATATGGAGTACGCCCACCGGATGTGGGGACGTGGCGTGGGGCTAGTGTTTGCGCTCCCCGCTCTGTACTTCCTTAAGAAGGGATGGATCACCAAGGCCATGAGACCCAGGCTTGCCATCTATGCATCATTCATCGGTTTCCAAGTAAGTTATAACAAAAGACTGCTTACTTAGGCCATTGTGTTTTTTACAAAGTGAAATGTCTGGTGAAGATGGTTTTGAGCCAAGGGAGGTAATCTTTAGTCCGACATGTGGAGAATATTATCTCCCTTTGGTCATGGTGCCAGTGACATTTGTGTTTTGAGGTCATGAACAAGATAAACTTCCATACATGATTATGATGATGATGCTGATGATGGAACAAATTCTTTAAAGTTTTAAGCTTATCCTATCTCACGACTTGCACCTCTCTCTCTTGCTTCGACTTTTAGTGGAACGACTGTAAACTTTTTTCCATAGGCCTCCTTGTCCATTCGCCCGTGCACTCCATGCTGCTCTCCTTAATTAGCTTCCTAGTTCCTAATAAAGCTTGCAGCATGCTCCACTAATTGCCCACGTGACTACCTTGAATGATCATTCTCTTTCTTGTTGCACGACTGTGTGGACGTGCTGTATATTAGGGACATTATTTCACCCTAACATCATGGGGAAAACTGATAATCAGTCAAGGAAAAGGAAAGTTTGTGCTCAATGCAAGACGAATTATTCTTCCCTCGACCCTCACTCGTCTTGCAGTGACTGTATTGGACAATGTAACTGGAACAAACGATGTGGCAAGTGTAATTCACTAAAAGATGAGGATTTTAAGGCCTTACCTTCGTGTTTGCTCCCGGAGAATCACCGATAGGGACAGGAAATCAACAGAATCTGATCCTACTCCCGCCAAGTGTATCAAGTTACAGCGACAGAAAATCGTACCTTCACGCAAGAGAAGCGACATCTGTGGTTCAAGAGGATTTTATGGACACTTCATCAGATTCTTACTTATCTGAGGACGTTCGGCACCTATTACGTATGCATCAATCACCTCCTTCCATAGCATCAGATCACTCGCGGGTGGTTGTGATCGATAATTCTTCGTTGCCTGTCCCATCTACACTACCAGGGGACCTTAGATCGACATTATCATCATCCAGATCATCAGTACATATCCCCTCGACTGTCTCAGTTTGTTTGGAGCCTGGCCAACCAGCCAACTGTCTCCCCACACTTCATTGAACCGGAGGGAGCTGGCTACAACAGCGTCACCGGGGGACATTCATCATGAATGAACACTTCAGGTTTCGTCACCGATCGCCGATCCAGATCGCCACATCAATCTAAATCACCACAACGATCTAGATCACAGTCATGATCCAGAGCACAACTACGATCAACATCACCCGTTCAATCCAGATCACCTAACCGATCCAGATCACCAAATGGGTCCAGATCACAACTTCGAATCAGATCACCGGACAGATCCAGATCACAACATCGAAGTAGATCATCGGACCGATCCAGATCACAACATCGAAGCAGATCACCGGACCGATCCAGATCACAACCTCGAATCAGATCACTGGACCGATTTAGGTCACCTAACCGATCCAGATCACAACATCGAAGTAGATCGCCAGACCAATCCAGATCACCTAACCGATCCAGATCACCAAATCAAGCCTGATCGCAACTGCAAACCAGATCACCTGTTCGATCCAGATCACGATCACAGTTTCCAGTTAGTGCATCGAATCGATCCAGATCACTTTACAAATCCAGATCATCTTACCAATCCAGGTCACCTATACGATCTAGATCACCTTACAGAGCCATTGACCAATCGGGATCACAGTACAGATCCACATCTCATGGCCGATCCTATTCAGATGGTTGAACCAGAGCTCCAATCAGAAGCAGATCACCAGCTAGAACTACAGCGACCCGGACTAGTTCTTCATATCATACCGGATCAACTAGCCATACTAGGGAATCCAGATCACAGGCTTACCAACCTACTTCGGTACTTACCATGTCGAGATCCCGATACAGTTCCTCTGACCGACGTTCGGGTGATCATTGCTCTGATACCACTAATAGGCCTACAGTCTCTTATGATGTTCCGTCTACATGCTCTGAGAATCCTTCGACTAACTCTAGGATCATTGCTAAGTCATGGGAACCTGATAACAATCCCACTCCTACAGCGACTACGGATCTAAATATGATGATCAGGGCCATAACCTCAGCCTGGAACCAAATACAGCCTTCTACTCCAGCCCATCCGGCTGCGGTAGCTCCTGGCACTTCATCTGGTCCACCTCCTGAGATTGATCCAGTCCAAATAGCCATGCCTGCATCTCCCGCTCACTGTGAGTTATCTACCCCTGGGGGTAGCTTTGCAGCAGTTGAGACACCTCAGGTACTCCTTTGGATTGTTGAGAAGCTCCAACTTCCCTTGAGTACTTCAACAGATGACCTGGATCACTCTTATACTCTTAGGAACCGGGATTCGTCTACCATCACCCTACCACCTCAACCTTGTATTCTGAAATTATTCAGTACACTAAATGATGGTTTCAAGAGCCTGAAACGAATTAAGGGACGGATTCTCTGCTCCCAGATATAATCCTTCTACCTCTCATGTCCACGGCCTAACAAACAAAAATCTCTACGGCTCCAACAGTTGATGAGGATATTGGAATCCTGTGTGGCAAACGAGCTGCTTCGCCCTACCTTATTGAGGACCGAGAGTTGGCTCACATGGATTCAGCCGTGAGAAAGACGTTGCCATCTATTAGTTGCGTGATTGCAGCAGTTGACGCTGTTAACACTGCTCTGGAGCATACTTACTCTGATCAAGACGCTTACATTTGAAGATGCATGACTTTAGCTCTGTACCAGTTCAAAATTATCCTGGATCAGTTGTCTCCTTTTTTGGGCTACACTCTTGCTGTTTGCCACATGGACCCCTTAACATCTCTTCATGGGAGGAGCGATTTAAAACAGAACTGTTTCGCCAGCCTTGGTTTACTGACTCCCTCTTCAATGGTAGCATGCAAGAAGTATCTAATAAAGTTGATAAAGAAACCCACTTTCAAGTCTCGATTGAACTGTTAAAGAAACAGAAGTCACAGCTCCAGGACTCATTAAAACAGCGTCAAACTGCACAGTTCACCCTACCAATCCGGATTTACGCAATCTTTTACTTGGCGCATCCACTCAAGGCCGTGGCAGGGGAAACAGATCTGGCCATGGTGGTTCCTCCCGTCGCCCCCCCAGGACCAACTCTGGCCCAGGGACCAGCGCCGGGGAAGCAGTGACGGCTTGAAACAATCGCACGACTGGGACCTCCTGCCTCCAGTCGTTCCGATTTACATCACTCCGGTAGGCGGGAGATTGCAGATCTTTCCCCAAATTGGACCATTCTCAAAGATCCGTATGTCACCAACCTGCTACTTCACGGCTATCAGCTACCCATTATTGGCAGTCCACCTCTGACGTCGCATCCGGCTCATCGCTCATATCCTGTGGACCAGCTTCAGACTCTGCAATCCACAATAGGTACGCTATTAGACAAACTCGTGATAGAGCTCCTAGTTCCATCGCCAGTCACTCCAGGATTCTACTCCCCCATCTTCTTGGTTCCAAAGAAAAATTCCAACAAACTCTGGCTCATCTTCAATATGCAGTTGTTCAATGCCCGATTCCTGCTTCCACCACCTCCCTTCAGGATGGTGTCAATCAACTTTTTACGCACCATCTTGAAGAAGGGAGACTTCCTCACCAGCCTAGATCTTCAGGATGCTTATCTTCACGTTCCGAGACAGCCAGAACACCGGAAGTACCTTCGTTTCGTGTTCAACGGGAATCACCTTCGAAAGCTACATAGACGATTGCATCCAGGCTCAACAGGATCCGATCGTATTGCTTCGCCTGCTACAGTTCACCACCTCGCTGCTCAGACAGTTAGGGTGGCTGTTGAACATCACGAAATCTGAAGTAATACCGACTCAGAAACTCCAATTCATCTGAGCACTGTTCGACACTCGTCAGGGGATGATGTTCATACCTCACGACAGGTGGATAAAGATTCAGCAATGCATTCCTCCAGCACTGTCTCAGAACCTTACGACAGTGGCAGGAGCTACTGGGCCTTGTGATGTCAGCTCAAGCCTTAACGTACAGAGGCCAGCTCAAACTTCGGCGGACAATTCGACAGTGGTTTGGTATATAAATCATCTAGGCTCGACCGGCCTCGGCGAATCTGCTACAATAGGCGATCAGGTTCTTCCAGCTAATCGACTCACTCAACATGGTAGCCAGAACCAGACACATTCCCGGGGTATAAAATGTGATCGCCGATGCCTTGTCCCGATCCAACCGACTGTCCCCGACAGACTGGAAGTTACTGCCCCGGATCTTTCAGTCGATGATCTACCCGTTATCACGGCCTCAAATAGATCTGTTCACCACAAGGTTCAACAACCAACTTCCAAAGTTCGTATCACCAATCCCAGACTCCTTGGCGTGGGACCTCGACGCGTTGGCAATATCATGGGAGGGTCTCAATGCCTGCGCGCGTTCCCCCCTCCAGCTCTGCTACCAAAAGTAATACAGAAACTATTGGCCACCAGCAACATACTACTGCTTTTGGTCGCACCCTTCTGGCCAGTGAGAAGTTGGTTCGTCAACCTAAGAAGCCTGGCAGAGCCAAACCCAGTACCGCTTCCCAACCGGGACGACCTACTTCTTCACCCTCACTCGGAACTGCACCACGGGTCACCTCAGACCCTCAATCTACACGTTTGGCGCATCTTCAGAGGTCTTTCATAACTAAGGGCTTCTCTCGCCGAGTAGCCACAGCTATCACTTCAGCGCATCGTATTTTGACCTGTTCCTTGTACGACATCAAGTGGAAGAAGTTTGAAGACTATTGCAAGCTTAGGGGAATTGCATCTCCCACTTCCACCTCGGCTCAGGTCGTTGCTGAGTTTCTCCAGCATCTCCGCATTACTGAGAAACTCAAGGGTACTACATTAGCTACCTACTTAGCCGCCATCAACTCGGTTTTGGCTACCACCACGGGCACGAAGATTTCCACTGTTCCCGAGTTGCAGAGTCTACTACGCTCCTATAGACTCTCAGACCTGCGATCTTGATCGCCTGGGATCTGTCTGTCGTACTTCGTCATATGATTTCTACAGATTATGAACCTTGAGAAGACGAGGACTTCGAACAAGTGACATTCAAGACATTCTTCCTGGTAGCTTTGGCTACCGCTGCTTGTATATCTGAACTGCATGCGCTTGATGTCAATCGGGTGCGGTTCGAGCGGAAGAAGCATGGCAAGGCTTCCCTGGGTCTCCGCTGGGACTTCATTGCGAAAAACCAACTGCCAGACTGGATGTTTACCATTCCCCCGTTGTCCACCATTCTTGGGCCTGATGATAATGAAGATTTGACACTCTGCCCTGTCTACACGTTTACCTTGCTGCCTCCAAGGATCGTCGACGGCTACGGAAGCGCCTCTTCATACCCTTGTCGAACGCTTCAAGAACTGAGGTTTCCCCGGACCACATTGGCCTTCTGGATGCGTGCCATGATCCTGCGAGCCTACACCTTTACAGGGTTGCCTCCTCCAGCCGCTTCCAATCCTCATGAGACTCGTGCACTAGCCTCGATGATGGCCCTCCATAGCAACTGCTCCTTGACCGCTATCATGGAAGGTTGCTTCTGGCGTTCTGATACAGACTTCTCTTCACATTGCCTGCGAGACCTGTCTGTCACTGATGTCCAGGGACTACACCAGTTCGGACCTCTTGTACTGGCTCAGCAGCTTACATCGGCTCAACAACGCAGATGAGGGATGGTTCCGCATTCGCGTTACTACTTCCTTGTATATACTGAGTAAAAGTTGAACTGGATCTCAACCTTTTGTTCTCATTATATGGGTTTAAGAACTACTTCACTTGGCCTCCATACCAAGGCATCGGAATACGGCCACCTAGCGTGGCCCTACGGACCTGAGGCTCAATCAGTATGACAATGCAGAGGTGTTCGACATTCATGCTTACTGACCTCTATTCCACAGCAATTACGTCAGTGAAGTGTGACACTCCCAAATTCCAGTGGATTTCATTGTGTTCTGCCTCCAAAGTTGCCGGGCACATCCTTTGACTAGAGCTTAGCTGCCAGGAACTGAGCGTTAAACCTTGGAGATGCGGTGTTTAGTCGGTCGGTGTCTGGGGTGCCTTCTTGAAGCAGGGGCTGTCCCGATTACGGGGGTACCTTGTTAATCATGGCGAGGCGAGGCTTACTTGCCGAGTTGTGTCCCTTGTCTTGTACAAGGTTGCGGCCGAACACCACATCGCTCGGGAGCACCCATCTCCCTGGGAGTCGTTGTGCTTAGTAAGCCAAGGGGTTCCGGAGAACCCACTATCAGCATAAGAGTTGCATGCATGCGTAACAGGCCTCCCTTGTACATCGCTATCTACGGTTGTCATCAGTCCAAACAGCTCAACACAGCTTTTCGCACTGTCCAGACAGAAGGGTAATCTGCGGCCCGCCGTCCAACCGTGGGATAAGTGCAAGTTGTGAGATAGGACAAGTTTAAAAATTTTGAAATTTTAATATAAATTGTATATTTATATACTTATCCTATCTCACGCGATGGATGCCAGCCCGGCCTTCCCACTACTCAGATTACAACTTTGGCTCCAAGATGAGAATGATCATTCAAGGTAGTCACGTGGGCAATTAGTGGAGCATGCTGCAAGCTTTATTAGGAACTAGGAAGCTAATTAAGGAGAGCAGCATGGAGTGCACGGTCGAAATGACAAGGAGGCCTATGGAAAAAAGTTTACAGTTGTTCCACTAAAAGTCGAAGCAAGAGAGAGAGGTGCAAGTCGTGAGATAGGACAAGTATATAAATATACAATTTATATTAAAATTTCCAATTCCAGCAGAACACAATATAGCAGAATATTTTTCACTGTTGTCTGATGTCTAAACTTTCAGTATCTATAAAATCCTTACGTGTTCACTAAAGTCAACTGGTCTCGTGTTAAATCTATGAGAACCCAGTCCTTCATAACCATTGATGCTCTTTGGCTCATACACATTTGGTGAAACTGTCACAAAAGTCTTAAATTTATTACTCCTTGAAGTATTGCTACACTGACACAGATTACTTCAAGATCTTCCATGCAGACCCCTTGGTTCCTATGTGGGTGATGTGATCATGCTTCTGTAGAATGGAAAGCCTAAATGGAATGTTCCCTACTGGAGATTTTTCAGTAAAATTAAGATAACAGATGACAAAGCAGATACAATTTATGAATAAGAAGTTCTTAAATATTATCATAATACAATTTATGAATAACAAGTTCTTAAATAATATCATGATACAATTTATGAATAACAAGTTCATAAATATTATGATTATTGAGACAGATTGGGGTTTTTTTAAAATGTGTAAAATTAGGATTTTTATTAAAAATGTTTTTTGTACAAGTTGTGTCTAAGACACAGTTCAGTGGATGAGTTGTTTGATGTCGTTATACTTCCACTTCATTCTTCCCTACCATCCTATCCTTCTGTCCTTCCGTCTTTCCATCTTTCAATCCCTAAATTTTGTCTGGAGCATATCTCTTAAAGTTTACATGTTAATCATTACCCATAGATGTGCCTCTTGCTATTTTACAGTTTTTCAGAATTTCCGTTTTTACTGTTTCCATGGAAACATGACTTGGTGCAAAATGTGTTCTTGGTGCTCATGCTATCAACCACTGGCCAGGTGCTGCCACAATGCAGAACCGATTATATTGTCGGCCATTACATAACTGGAATATTTCTGAATACAATGTTAACAACAGAGACACATGGATGTTCAACTCGGTTGTAACTACAGGGTTTCCTTGGCTGGTACATGGTGAAGAGTGGTCTAGAGGAACAGAAGAGTCCAGACGGCGTCCCCCGCGTGTCCCAGTACCGACTGGCAGCCCACCTGGGCTCCGCTCTCTTCCTCTACACGCTGTTTCTGTACGGAGGTCTCATGCATCTCAGCAAGCCACAGAGGGTAGGAGCAGACTTTCTTCTTTATCTAAAACTGGTAAACTGGTAAATTGGTCTTAAAGAATCCATGCTTGTCGTAAAAGGCGACCATCGGGATTGGGTAGTCGGGCTCGCAGACTTGGTTGATGTCATCATATCCAGATTGCTCAGATCAATTCTCATGATGTTGGAGGTTGATTGGTTAATAGCGTCACGCCAAAGATCCGTGTTCCATTCCCCACATGGGTAGAATGTGTGAATATTGTGATATTGCTTGAATATTGCTAAAAGCGACATCAAACCATACTCACTCACTCACTCTCATGATATGGATGACTTTATTGTCTGGTTCGACTGTTTACATACCACTGTCATACAGCTGGAATATTGATGGCTTTAAACAGCAAAACTTGTTAACTGTTTATTTGTGCTGCATGTTTAGCACAGACTGAGGCAAATCTGGTAAAAATCTCTACCAAATCCGGATATACAATGTATATCTGTGTTAATTTTCCAAACAGCAATTTTAGGACTGGTCAGAATACTATGTGTGACTGGGGCATCCACGTTAATCTGTGTCATGGTATCTCAGAAGGATATCACTATTAAAGTGGCATTAGGTGAGACTAGTACTTACCAGTCTACACTTACCAGTCTACACTTACCAGTACTTACCAGTCTACACCTACCCATCTACACCTACCAGTCTACACTTACCAGTCTACACTTACCAGTCTACACCTACCAGTCTACACTTACCAGTCTACACCTACCAGTCTACACCTACCAGTTTACGCTTACCAGTCTACACTTACCAGTCTACACTTCTACCCTACCAGTCTACACTTACACTACACTTACCAGTCTACACTTACCAGTCTACACTTACCAGTCTACACCTACCAGTCTACACCTACCAGTCTACACTTACCAGTCTACACCTACCAGTCTACTCTTACCAGTCTACACCTACCAGTCTACACTTACCAGTCTACACCTACCAGTCTACACTTACCAGTCTACACTTACCAGTCTACACCTACCAGTCTACACTTACCAGTCTACACCTACCAGTCTACACTTACCCGCACACACTCCTCACTTTGTTAGGCAAATAATGTTACAAACAGTTTCACCTCGTGTAACCTTGTGTATAAAATCATATGAGTTGGTGGTTATGGTTACACCTTTGTGTCTTTGCAAGTTTGAGTTTTGCTGTATTTGACTTGTGTTTTGTGTTGTGACTGTAGATGCCCAACACAAGGCAGATGACGCGACTGAGGGTGTTGACCCACGGAGTCCTCACCATGGTCCTCGTTACAGCTCTGTCTGGTGGGTACCAACTGAAGGATAGGGAGGGGATTAGTGTTTGAAGGGGTGGGCTTGTGGAGGGTGTCAGAGGTTGGTGAATGGCAGGGTGGGTGACTGGCAGGGTGGGTGAGTGGTTTGCAGAGTGTGTGAACAGATAGGTGGATGAGAGATTGGCAGGGTGGGTGAACTGAGGAGTGGGTGAACTGAGGAGTGGGTGAGCGGCTGGCAGGGTGGGTGAACAAATTAATAGGTGGGTGAGAGATTGGCAGGGTGGGTGAGTGGTTGAAGAGTGTGTGAACAGATAGGTGGATGAGAGATTGGCAGGGTGGGTGAGGGATTGGCAGAGAGATGAAGTTTTGGGTGGGTGAGTGATAATATGTAATAATTTTGTTTTGGCATACATTATTTACAGACTGCTACTTAGATGTTAAGAAATTTTCACCTTCCAAACACATGGAAATAATTTCAAAACTGTTTGAAATTTCAGGAGCGTTTGTTGCTGGCCTCGATGCTGGTCTGACCTACAACTCCTGGCCCAAGATGGCCGACAAGTGGATCCCTGATGATCTTGTCACCATCGCTCCCAAGTGGAAGAATATGTTTGAAAACCCAACCACCGTCCAGTTCAACCATCGGCATCTGGTAAAGTTGTTTGTTTCAGTGAAGGGGATGATGGCTGAGGATAGTTTCTCCCTTCCACTGGACGTGATGAACTTCTACATTGTCATACAATCCTCCCCGTCACAGTCTAACCTAAAGTTCATCAAGCCCTCCACCACCCCTACTCTCTTAACCCCATACTGATGTTGAGTGAGTGAGTGAGTTTAGTTTTACGCCGCTTTTAGCAAAATTCCAGCAATATCACGGCGGGGGACACCAGAAATGGGCTTCACACATTGTACATACTGATGTTGCTCTATCAGGGGTTGAATATCTGCATAAATCATTATTCACTCAATTGATCAAATAAGAAAAGGACCCAGGTTAATTATCCTATAGACAAGGTCATTATGAATTGCAAAATATTTTACAGATCACTACAGTATTTCTCATTCAGTAACTGCTTAGTCGTCTATCTATGAAATCATAAATATGGGACCATAAATATTTTGGGGATAGTTTGATTAAAAACCCACTGAACCCCCCAACATTCTTGCAGTTACTTTCTGTGTCTGTGTCTGTGTGTAAAATTCACAGGTGTGATCTCTATCCACAGGCAGAGTCGACTGTGCTGGCAATCACAGGGTTCTGGTGGGTGGCCCGCAAGGCTCCGCTATCTCCACGAGCCCGCACAGCGCTCAACTGTCTCCTGGGCATGGCATTCATCCAGGTAATCATACCCCTCCATCACCTTATGATATTATGAACAGGGCCAGTTCATTGTTCTTGAAAAAGCAGACTGTTTTTTTATATCATGAGTGAGTGAGTTAAGTTTTACGCTGATTTTAGCAATATTCCAGCAATATTTTGGCGGGGGACACCAGAAATGTGTTTCACACATTGTACCCATGTGGGGAATTGAACCCAGGTCTTAGACGTAATAAGCAAATGCTTTATCCACTAGGCTACCCCATCGCCCCTGATAGCATGAGCAAAGATTCTCAATGTCACAATGACAGTCAGTCATCTCCACTCGGGGTATCTCCACTCAGGGTATCTCCACTTGGGGTATCTTATCCCCGGGTATCACCATTTATCTGTTGTATTTTCTTGCAATACTCACAACATGGGTTCTGTTTCAGGCCAGCCTGGGTATCACCACCCTGCTGCTGTATGTCCCCACCCATCTTGCCGCCACCCATCAGTCTGGCTCCGTCACGCTGCTTAGCTTTGCTACATGGCTGGCTCATGAGATCAAGAGGATGCCCAAATAACGGCCATGACAGAAGCATCTTCTTTACTGGAACAAAATCCATTTAAACTGCAATTGCTTTGACCGACCTTGAAAATTACATCTCTCGCCATGATGTCAGTCAGAGTTTCACACATATTTGACATATTGAAACCTGGATTGTTTACATTGTAATTTTGCAATATTAGGCCCTAATGTGTATTTCTTTTGAAACCACCATACCTTTTTGCATCGACATGTACCTGCAATATAGTTATACTTGCATCTATTATTAATTTATGTGTTAAGGATACAATGTGTGGAGCCCTGTACCACATCAGAGATTTACCTGGACTTGCTCAGAGGTACATATTTGGGCCAAGTCTTGACATTATTTGTGTTTCTCTGATAACAGGAACTATAAACATAGTAAAGAGGACCAAAAATGTTTTAGTGCTTCGTTTTATGATTAATCATGTTAAGATACTTGCTTATTGAGAAGATAAGAACTTAAACATCCCATTCTTTTTCAGAAGAAGTCCTCCTTGGGGTACTTATAAGCATTAAAATGTCCATTTTGAAACCTACGACAGTTGTAACTATATTTCAATAAAAATATTTACAAAACGAAAAAACACGTTCTGCGTTATGAGACCACCCCTACAGGGCCCCAGCGGGGCCCCCTACCGGCAAGAGCAGGTAACTCTAGCCGACAACCTCGCACCTCACTTTTCATGCTGTCGTCTCAGAAGACAGACGTGCGTGTAGTTCATTGTGAAAAGAAATCAAAATGAGTGGTACAGAATCAACTAATGTATGTATGGTTCCTCTTTTCTCTCGCACGGGCTTTAGTGGAATTGTAGGTTGATTTTTTCATTCATGATTGTTGTAACTTAGTCGGACAGGCTCCATTTTCCAGCCATGCATTGGCAGGCAAGATGGCGGTCGGGTTTGGCTTCCTTCTGTCCTACGGTTGTAACTTTTTTTACATGCCGCTAGGGGAGGAGTAATTTCTTATTATTACTATGGTAGGCTTGCCTAACGTTTACACTTTCAGCAAAAGGTGAGTTGGGGTAAAGTTTTTCATATAACATTTCACGCTATATATATTTGCTTAGGAAGCTTGCATTTTCACCCTTGTTCATGATATGTTAAAGGGTAAACCTGCCTTAGCTTTTCACATAGGGTTTATCGCCCGTCGCGTATTATATTTTACGTGTGTTGCATATATGTGTGTTTTTAGACTGTACATCAGTTTCCATGATAAATGGTTCTGTTTGTTACAGTTTCACCCGTCTGCGTGGCATGTCGCGGCAATGTTGCCACCTCAGGATTCGCCACGATGTGTGCCTACGTTGTTTGGCTGTTGAACATCATGATGATCAATCGTGTGAGAACTGCCAGATTTTCTCACCAAAAGGCGGCAAGCGTCGTTCCGCGAACTTTTGTTTTATACAAATCTGCTGCAGGCGGGGGACTTATGGGCACAGGACCCACCATCTAAAGTGGCTAAAAGTAAGAAGAGTTCTTCTTCTTCTAGTGGGGTGGGGGTAAGCGGGCCAAGGCGGCGGTTAAACCTTCTTCCCCTATCCCTCCACTTCCACAACTCAATCAGAATCTGCACCCGTATGTATTAATGATTTAACATCCATATTGCAGCAACAGATGACTTGGTTAAGCTCGCTGATCTCGGTTAGCGATGTCCGGTCTCCGTGAGGAGATCGGCTTCCGTTCGAGTTAAAGCGGTGCTCGAGGTCGTCTGTCGAGGGTCCTCCTGCCTCGGGCTCGGGTCGAGGGCGGGTTCTACCCGGAGGGGTCGCGTTACTTGAGCCTTGGCTCTGGTGACCCCTCTGCTGGTGCGCCTGTGGCTGGCCCGAGCCGGCTCGGCTCAGCGCAGAGTACTAAGCGTGTTGGATCTGGGTCTCGTGCCGTTTGCTACCAACTCACAAGCGGGGTTTCCGGCGCCCGGTGCTACCGGTCGGCTTCGGGGCCTTACGTTCCTTCGGGGAATCCTGTCACCGGCAGGCTCTTCCCTGGGTCCCTCGGCACCCTGGCTCAACCTCGAGCCTAGGGTTCGGTCGACCCAGGCGCCTTAGCTCTTATGGCTCCCTATCTTTGTCTGTGGAACCGACTTCCGTGCTCGGGGCTGACTCTGGATACCGAGTTACGTTGCGGGGAGGCGGGAGGAGGAAGCCATGGATGGCGGCGGGGCATGAGACGTCGGGGAAGGTTCCTTGGCGCTTAGTCCGTCCCTCCGGCAGCAGTAAAGGAACGCATTCGTCCTTTTGCCGCAGGTGGTCGTGCTCGTCAGGCGACCCGACCCAGCTGGAGTTTCGATCTCCGGGAGGCGTTTGCTCGATGTCGGTCGCCGAGGCCCACTTGCGTATTTTACCGTCACTGATCAGTGAGGTTATTAACCCTCTCCTCTCAGGGAGGCCGGTCACGCTTGATCTTCGGGCTGAACCGGGCTACCTGATGGGAGAGGGGCGCTTCGACCCCGGTGGTAGGCGAGGTGTATTTATGCCTCAGTCAGCCCTGGGAGGGTCATCTGGCCATAGCCACGGCGTCGGCTCGTCAGGGTCGGCGTTAAGCCTCCCTTTACTTCTAACAACCAGGTGTTGAAGTCGGTCTATCGTTCCTTTGAGGAACAATACCGTACGCCGTTCAACACCTAAAGGTTTCAGTCCACTCAGCATACCTCTCGGCCCTGCAGAGAAGCTGAGTGGACCAGGAGGCGTGGACGACGACGGTTGCGCCGTCCGTTAGCGAACAGCTCACGGAGGTGCATTCACATCTGGCACGCCTTGCCATTCGGTCGTTGCGCGCTAGCCAGATGATGTCTCGCGATCATGGGCCTCCGTCGGTTGTGGCTGTCTGTGGCCAGATACTCACCCGGCTACAGCAGCGAAGCTATTGTCTTTGCCGTTCAGGATGGGCTCCAACCCTGTTCGGGGCATTGACAGTGGTCAGGGAGGCCGCGGAGGCGGTTAGCCAGTTTAAGGACTCTAAGCCCTTACTGGAACAACCCCTCACTGCTCGCGCCCGGCCTTCCGTCCTTGCCTCAGCTTACCCTTCCTCTTCAGGAAAGGAAGCGCCGAAGTGGGCGGCTCCACTTCAGGCACGTAGAGGCAAGAACAAGGGTAGAGGTAGGGGCAAGGCTGCGCCTCTCAGCAGCATTTTCAGAGGAAGGGGAAGTTAGGCCCGGCTTCCCAGTAAGCATTCCTCGAGCCCTTGTTGGTCCGGCACAAGCAGTTGTTACACTGCGACTGCGGGATTCACTGTCTCTTACCGACGTCCCTGTAGGCGGCCGGCTACCTCTCTTCCTTCGGGAATGGGAGAAAGCCACATCAAATCCCTGGGTCCTGTCCACACTCAGGGATGGGCATATGCCACAGTGGAAGCGAGGCCCTCCTCCTTTCTCCGGGATTCGTTGCACGCCAGTGCGAACTCTCAGGAAAAAGGCCGATGTTCTCCGATGCGAGGTCCAGGCGTTGCTGGACAAGGCAGCCATCGAGGTGGTTCGAGGGCCAGGAAAATTTAGGGAGTTTACTCAACCTATTTCCTGGTTACCAAGAAGGACCGGAGGGTTCAGACCCATTCTCAATTTAAAGGGTCTGAACAGTTTGCTGGAGGTACCGTCCTTCAAGATGGAGACACTATGGTCGGTGATCTCATCTGTGGAGGCAGGGGATTGGCTTACGTCAATCGACCTCAAGGACGCGTACCTTCATGTACCCATGCACCCCGAGTTCAGGAAATACCTCCGGTTTTCCTTCGACGGGAGGTGCTATCAGTTTCGTGTGCTCCCCTTCGGCATCTCCACGGCGCCAAGGGTGTTCACAAAACTCATGCTAGTGCCAGCTCAAGTCGCCAGGGCACAGGGCAACTTTTGTTACCCGTACCTGGACGACTGGCTGCTCAGGGCGCTTTCCACTCACTTGAGTCGGGAATCCACACAGACAGTGATGGATATTCTCACCAGGTTGGGTTGGGTCATCAACCTCAAGAAATCCGAGCTGGTTCCATCCCAGGATCTGGTTTTCTTGGGGGCGAGATTCGAGACACAGCAGGGCTTAGTCTCTCTGTCTCAGGACCGCATTTCCAAAGTACAACGGGTTGTTGTACAATTCCTTCAGTCCCCCAGGGCCTCAGCACGCGCATGGCTTCAGTTGCTAGGCAACATGGCGGCGACGGTGGATGTAGTTTGGCGTGCGCGTCTGAGGATGCGGCCAATTCAGCAAGCGTTAGCACAGCTGTGGTCACACTCGGGGAGTTACGAGACTATCCTCCTAACTCCAGAGTGGCTTCATCCTCACCTCAGGTGGTGGACCGACACCGGGAATCTAGTCAGGGGTATCCCTCTGGAGACCCCGGTGCCTACGCTCACGATTCAGACGGACGCCTCCCTCACAGGGTGGGGGGGGGTCCTAGGGGACCTCACAGCTTCCGGACTTTGGTCCGTGAACGAGGCGACCTTACACATCAACGTGTTAGAATTGAGAGCGGTCCGACGGGTATTCGAACGCTTCATGGAACAGGTTCGGAACCGTGTGGTTCGTCTAGAAATGGACAATCAAACGGCGATGTCCTATATCCTGAAGCAGGGCGGTACGGTGTCTCCGTCACTCCTCCAGGAGGCGTGGCAGTTTCTGCTGTGGTGCGACCGGTTCAACACACGGGTATTACCTGTGTATCTCCCGGGGGAGGACAACGTACGTGCAGATGCACTCTCACGTCGTATCCTGGCCCCTCACGAGTGGTTACTCGACCGGGAGATATTCGGGGCTATCTCCCAGTTGTTCGGGTCGTTCCAGGTGGATCTGTTTGCCTCTGGGGTGACGAACCAGACTCCGGTGTTTTGCTCCCGGATCCCGGATCCGGGAGCGATCGCCTCCGATGCCTTCCAGCTAGATTGGACGGACAGGGTCCTGTGGGCGTTCCCACCGATACCTCTGATTCCCAGAGTCCTATCGCAGCTAGCCACCCAACCAGCGCGACTACTTGTGCTTCTTGCACCTCTGTGGTCGTCTCAACGCTGGTTCCCTGTAATACTCAGATCGCTAGTACAGCCTCCGGTGCTGTTACCGATGCGACCGGACCTCCTATCCCAGGAAGGCCAGCCACACCCGGATCCATGGATCCAGTGGGTGGCTTGGCCACTGTCAGGAGTCGCCTCCGTGCGAGCGGAATTCCTGCACCAGTTGCAGACACAATTCTGGCTTCGCGGAGGGATTCGACTAACTTACAGTATGAGGATAGATGGGCCTGTTATGCGCGCTGGTGTGGAAACAGAGGGATACTTGATCCCTTTTCTTCGACTGTAGTCGAAGTTTTGGAGTTTTTACAGTCTCGGTTAGAAGCCGGCCTAGCCGCGTCTACTATCCGAGGCTACTCCACAGCTATTTCAGCTTTCCACATTCCTACCGAGGGTGCCCTTTTAGGACAACACCCTCTGGTTCAGCGTTTCTTAGCAGGTGTGGACAGAGTGCGTCCGGTCGTCCGTCGGACCAGTCCACCATGGGAGCTG